TAAATTTATTTAAAAAATAAATTAAAGGAGTGGATTTTATTTAAATGACCATTTGTAAATTATTTCAAAGGGGAAAGCAATAGAACCAATTTCTAAGGTTTTCCTATGCAAAAGTTACCGCACTAGGTTTGTTAGGCACCTCCTGTGGTTTAACATTCTAGGGGTAATCAACCAAATAACTAACTGGGACTTTTATTTTTATTCCCAACTAGTAATCTGATATCTCATTTTAAACATTGTCTGTGTGTGACAATTTGTTTGTTGTTATAAGGAATCTAATTACAGAGCGCAGATTAAAAAAACATTGTACTATAGATGCATCTGTGGAAGACAGTAAATAATAATTCTGAAGAGCATGGAGATAAATTGTGTTTTTCTCTCTCTCCTCTTGGAAGAGGGGATGTAATAACTACATTCTCATCCTTGGTTGTACATTTAATCTATAATGGGCAGAATCTGATACATACAGTAGTGTAAATATTTTCAAATAGTGTCATAAAACAGATGGTTTACTGCAGTAGATATTAATTTGGTCTCATATTTCTAAAACAAGTAGAAAAACTTTCAGAGTTTTAAAATAATGGGTGGGAGTTTATGCTCTGTTTCCTTTCAAGTGGAGAAATGATTTTAGGTGAGCTGGACATTAATCTGGTGTTTATGGCCCAGATCAAAAGCACTGGCAATCATTTTAACCTTGAAGACTTGTGAGGTCTCAATGGATTTGATTATTCTCGTGTAGTTATGCTGAGAAAGAATTATTGAACATTCCGTTTTCTAATCACACCAGAAAGGGAAGATTGGGAGTAAAAGCAAACATACCTCTTTATTTATTTTGATACTGATTATTCTCGTGTAGTTATGCTGAGAAAGAATTATTGAACATTCCGTTTTCTAATCACACTAGAAAGGGAAGATTGGGAGTAAAAGCAAACATACCTCTTTATTTATTTTGATATACATCTTGACTCTATGTAGAATTTTAAGCCTCAGCTTTCTTAAGTATGTTTCTTTCTTTAAAATTTTATTTTAGAGATGAGACATTCAATGAGTAATCCAGAGAAGACTTTCTTTGAGGGCAGGAAGCTCATTTCTCTTTGTTCTTTTTCCTCTACAGACAGAGCTTTTGTTGCTCTTAAAAATGTTTGTAATCTTCAGAAAGAAAAAAATAGCCCTCCAGTTAATAATAGCCAAGGTCAATTACATGAAAGATATAATCTCCTTACTGAGGTTGAGTGGGAAAGCAGTGATGGGCCTGGACAGGTTCCCTCCCCTTTATGTATCCATTAGTATTGATTGATTATTCCAGCTCAGTTGAGGATTAGGCACTAATCCTCTAGATTCTAGTTGACTTGACTCCTGGCCATGGAGTTGATGGTGGTGACCTATTCAAAGTACTTGAACCATCACAGCAAGAATTCCACTGGACAAAGTTAAACAGATGAGAAAGACTTTATTCAAGACTATTGCAATAGGGGAGAGAGATCAGAATGCAGGTTGAAATCAACTCCATCAAAACAAGAGGTTTTTAAGAGGATGTGTTTTAAGCACTAGATGAGTTCATGGAAAAGTACTGAAGGACTTTTGCAGAAAGGTTGATCACTGGGTGTTAAGCACATTCATTTATTCCTGAGTTTGCAAATTTTTTCTCTGTGATTAGGCCATCTGTGTTTGCTAATTGGTGTCTATCAAAGTTAGGCTCCTGTACTCCCATAGAAACTGGGAGATAGGGCACAGTCTTCCTTAATGGTTACATTTCAAGGAGATGGCTCCCAGGTCATTAAGGAAAATACTCTTGGATTGTAAAAGTGGAAAACAGCTTTTAAAATGATTTACTTCTCAAAGAGGCAGAGAAAGAATTTACAATTGTAAGTTTTCTAAAGTAAATGCTCTAAGAAAGCCTAGAGTTAGGAAGCAGCCTGTCTAGTTTAGTCAAGCTGGGCAAATGTAATGTTTTGGTCAGTATTGTAATAGTACACATTTTTTAAATTCAAAAAATTCCAATAGGAAACTTTTTTTGTCTGGCTCAGTTTTAGATCTTTATTGCAAACTTAGCTGGTTCTTTGTGATACTTACTAAAATAAGAATGTCATTCATTTTACACCAGTTTTTAGAACTTTGTATAAGGCAATATTTATAAAGAGATTTTTTTGGGGGCCCCACATTCCTCTTATTTTATTACCTACTTTATGCGATACACAATGCTTCATTCTTTCAGAGTTTTGTGTAATGTAAAAAGGATTTTGATTGTCCTGCTGCTATGTCTTTCTGGAATGGGTAGCATTCTAGGAGGGGAATATGCTTATGACTTCAAATAAATTAATATTACTTAACTTAATATAACCAAAATGTCCTAGCACAGCATCTAGGGCAAGTCTGAAGTAGAAGTATCTGAAGACTTTGAGTATGTTTTTCATCTATCAGCTGGAGTGGGGCCTGAATTAGAAGCATTTTGATGATGCCTGTCCCTTCTTCTGTTTACTTCTCATGCACACTTAATGACTTTTTCTCCCAGAACTATTTTTATTCTTTTTCCCCTACCAAAATATCTATGTATGACTTTGGCAAATGTCTGCTGAATTTTGCCATTTCTATGATTTTGGTAGTGTAAATATTTTTCTTGATCATGACAATATTCCAAAATGATTTAATATAGGGGTTTAATATTCATCAGCTGAAGATAATGGGATATGAAACAACAGGTTGGCTTTTGCAATCTGAGTGAAGATTGGCCACCAAATGTATGTGTATAGTGACCTCAGCGTACCTGGTATTTTTTTTTATTTTGACAATTTATTTGGTTCTGAATTTAATGAAGGCATTTCTCTCTTTGCGAGTGTGTTTCCTGATGTCATTAGAAGCTGTAGATTTCAGAGACCTAATGTCCATGGGTCAGCTGCCTCAAGAGGGATCATTAATTGCAGTTGCTTGAGTTTGGTGCACATGTGGTTAAAGACGAAGAAGGTGTTAATATTTTTCAAATGAGTTCTGTTTCATGTTTGTACACACATGCTCTTTTTAAAAATTCTGCTGGCATATTGTTTACGGTGGGTACTGGCAAACATCACATCTGCTTGCATCTTGCTCAGAATCTCAATAACTCTATCATTCAGCCCTGGTGCTTATTTCTCATCTAGGCCTTTGTGGAGAGTCGATAATGCCTGCCATCTGCCACAGAGCACATCGCTACCTGCCAACAGGCAGGCTGGGTGACCTCTGCTTCCCCACCACTGATTAGTATTCACACGCTAGCTTATTAAGAATGACCCCACCAGGCCTCTCTGTTTCTTTGCCTTTGCAGCGGTTGGCGGCTCACCTGGCAGGCACTGCAGTAAAGGAAGCTAAAGATATAATCAGGGGATGCAGGCAGTCTTTGCAAACCAGATGGCATCCATAGTCTTGTGGCAGGGGACCGGACTGCTAATGCAAACATTGGTTCCTAATACTGTGATGGGTTGTCTCTTAGAAAGCACCTAAGAAAAGCATCATCAGAGTTTTGAGTTAAATTCACTCATGTGTAATATATTAAAGCTATTTCTTAGCAAAATATCTGAAAGGCTTCACTGTTTTATTAAAGAAGATGTTTGATTGGAAGGAGATTCTTATTATGACATGTTCAAACAGGGGGAGCAGATAAATGCAAGCCTTTTGATCTGTACAAACCACTTTTTTTTTTTTTTTTTTTTATCCTGTCTGGAATGTATTTTTAAAAGAGAAATTAGAAATGAGCTAGCATATATGCCTATAGTGAATGGACCAATGTTTATACAAACATGTTTGATATTATTGTTGATGTTTTATTCATCTTCCCTTACAGCTTTGTGAAATGGTGAAATTCTGTGTATTCAAAACATCATATGATTTTTCTGGTCGTAATCCAAATTTTTCTTGGCAGAAAGGAACCTTCCAGTATGTTTAGTGTTCTTTGTATGTTTAGTGTTTATGTAAAAAGAAAATGGTTAGGTTTATTTACCTGTGCATTATTTGGTTTAGTTACCTGTCCATTATTTAGTTGAGATTTAAAATTAGTCATACTTGATTTTCATTCCAATTTTACAATTTACATTACATTTTAAATAGGTGCCTTATCTGAAGAGAGGTTGAGCATACCCTTCTCATTACTGAGAGAGACCTAGAACCAAATATTGAAGGTTTCACCATTTCCTGAAGTTACCATACAAAACTTGGCCTTCTATCAAAACAAATAAATGCATGCCTAAAAATAACTTTTCCCAGTGTGGCAGCGGATGTGACTGTAAATATGTTAAAGGAAGCTAATAGAAAGCAAATGAGGGAGGTTTATTGCTGAACCAAATCTTAGCTTTTCCACTGATCTCAGGAAGTTAATTTTTGGCAAGAACAACAAAGCCACTCTAGTTTTTCTAGGGGCCTTAGGTACCCAGTGATTATTATCACAATATTTTTTAAAAAGTGAACATGTATTGGACATTTATTATATGCCAGGCATTTTTCTAAATGCTTTATGCATATTAGCTCATTTAATCTTCACAACAGACTCATCAGGTAGGTATTATTATCCCCATTTTACAGATGAAGAAATAGGCACAGAGAGGTTAGGTAAATTGCTGAAGGTCATACACAGGTTATAAACCTAGGTATTCTGGATCCAGAGACTGTTTTCTTAATCATTACACTACTGTATACAGTATACCTGGCCATGTGCTTTCACTCTTAAGTAATGTGCATGAGTAAATTCTCTGAATTGTGTGACATAAATGTAAACATCATGAAAATTTCAAAATGTAAAATGTATCCTAACAAGAGGAAATGCCTTATGGAAGTTGCAAAATAGAATTGGAATATGTGGTTCTTTTATACTTGCTCTCATGTTAAGAAGCCCAGATCTTTCAATGTATATAAACGACATTCAGGTAGAATGTGATTAATAAACTTTAGGGTTACCACGACTAACAAGGCACGCTCTGCTGTTTTCTGCCCTGGAGTTCTCCTATTAACAGAATGCACTTGAATTTATTTTTCAGAATAAGTGGATAAGCCGCAGCCCCATGCTGCAGAGGAGGGTCTACCATTCCATGGCTGCTGTCCAAAGGAAGCTTTATGTTCTTGGAGGCAATGATCTAGATTACAATAATGACCGGATCCTTGTGCGTCATATAGATTCTTATAACATAGACACTGACCAATGGACGCGCTGTAATTTCAACCTGTTGACTGGCAAGTACCTTTGATCAAGTAAATCAGGAAAAGCAAAGATTCAAGTAGTTGCCAAATTTTTCTTAGACATCTTTAGTGCACCTCTACATATGAAGTGCATAGTGGTAGAACAACTTGCATTTGTTAACCTGAAAGTTGTGCTTTATGTATATCACAACAAAACTGGACTCATTCAGGTGGCTAAGCATCAAGTTTCTCAGAGCCTGTATTACCTTTATGTTCATTGTTACATGGCTGAGAGGCATATCTAGTCCATTATCATCAATCAGTATTAACATAGGAACTTTGATACAAGCAGGAGGAACCAGGCACTGAAAGAGTTAACTCTTTACACAAGCAATTTTTTTTTTTAATTCTCATTGCTTTTAGTGTTTTTATTTCTTTTGAGTTCAGAAATTTAGGAGAATGGTTTTCATTATTTGTCACTGTCAAATATTGTTTCTGGTGTACTGTCCTAGAAATTAAACCTTAGTTCTCCATAAAGGGGTTTGGCTGCCTGTCTGGCCACACATACCCATCCACGCGTTACTACAGGGCAACACTAGGTATGGACCATCCTCATCCCAAAGGGGAATGAAGGAAAAGCAATGAACAATGTGCTCATCATGTTTCTTTATGGAGCTGAGAACTTTTTCTCCCTTGTCAGCTTGTGTTTTTAACATCCACTAGTGATTAGATCCTTTCCAGGGCTGCTCAAATAACAGGATAATCACAAACTTAAACTGGTGGGTTGGATTAGTTCCTGAAGTCATTTTAATGTGCTGAATGGGCACTGAGTCACTCATACCTGCTGCTGGGGGACGCAACATTGGGCATTTGTCTAAACCAGAGATTTAGATACTTTGTATTGAGTTATTGTTTTCGCAAAATGATTTTTGAGGCCCACCTACAAGTACTTAACTCTAAATTTTAGTGGTGCCTTATACTCTCGATCCCTGGATCTGTGATTCTGCCTGCTATAGGATCCAGCTTATTTATTACCCCAGTCAATCCCATGTCAGCCCATCAATAAAAAGAGACTCTTTCACTCTCTGATGGCCTCCAGGGAAGAATATGTGGTAGTGAGTTATTTTCTGTCTTTTTGAAATGGGAGGGAAACCTTTCATCATTTTGGCGTGTCAGTGTCTAGGGATTATCCAGGCTGATCTCAGCTCAGAAACTTTAATATAATCTTAAAACCATTGTATATGTAAAGATAGGAAGGGTAGTAACTTTATCAGTCTTTTTTGCCATTTGTCTTCATTCGTGGCATGGCTCTGTTTTATTGGCTTCTGGAGGTTGTGACTGCTACTTTACATATACAAGCACTTGCCTAAAAAGCATTTGTAGGTACAAGAGGTGTTTTGCACCTCTAACACATACCATATTTCCGCGACTATATATTAATGGTATACGACACAGTATAGAACTCTCTATTCTATATGGCTTACTATTGCTGTATTTAATGGTGTATTTACTTACTTGGCTAGCTAATAAGTGTTTTCATCTGGTTCTGACCTGACACAGACTCATTCTCTGAGAAATGGTGTTTAATTCTTCCAAGTAGTGGGAGGCAGTGATTAGTTGCTGCAAAAATCCCATGCAATATATATAGTGTGCCACAGGGGGAAATTGTATCCCTCAGTGGCAAAGGGTTAATTAAAACATGTAAGAAATGAATTTATTTTTTCGTTTTATTCAAATCTCTTTACTTTAGGCCAAAATGAATCTGGAGTTGCTGTCCATAATGGGAGAATATATTTAGTTGGTGGATATTCAATTTGGACAAATGAGCCTCTAGCTTGTATCCAGGTGAGTGGTCGAATTGCCTTTTGAAGTTTGCTCAGATGGTTCAGCGAGGTTACAGTGTGCAGTGCTGCTACTAAAAGAAGAGATATGTATGTGTAGAAAGAGGCTCAAGGTCTCTTCTTTTGTGCAGCTAGTTTCAGCTACTAAACTTCATCCTGTATCCTAAAAATGATGCCTAATAAATGAGCCTAATAAATGAAAATAAAGAATGGGGATGAGCTTTGAAAATATATGTAATATCTGGAAATAGGGAAACTGGGATACCTTTCTTTCTCATAAACCAAAAAAATCTAAAAATCTTTGACAATAGTCCTTTCACACCTCCAAAACTTTACAAATGCCTCCTTTCCATGATTGCCTTATTTTCTTTATCGGAATTCGTTGATTTCCATAAATGCTTAAACACCTACAAAGGTGTTCTTCCTGGCAGAGGTTGTGAGTAGTATTGGTTGATGACTGGTTTGATGGGCACAGTTTGTGCCCCTGGCACATTGGCAGGTGAGCAGCCTAGGCTGGGCAAGTTGCCAGCTGGGACTTTCAGAACAGCAATAGCCTTTGTTGCTATATATATTTAAGGTATTATTTGTATTATTATTTTACAGTTCTTATTGTGGTTTCATATTTTACTTGTTCTCTGATAAAATGTTGACATAGATTAGCCCTGACCTTTCTCCTGACCTCCAGAAGAGTATATCCTTATAACTATTCATATTATGTAATCTCATCCTTTTGGGAAGATTTTTTTTTTTTTGTCTTTTTCATGACCGGTAAGGGGATCGCAACCCTTGGTGTGGTGTCGCCCACACTGCGCTCAGCCAGTGAGTGCACCGGCCATTCCTATATAGGATCCGAACCCGCGGCGGGAGCGTTGCTGCACTCCCAGCGCCGCACTCTCCCAAGTGCACCACGGACTCGGCCCCTTGTGGGAAGATTTTTAACAACTGCTTTAGTATCTTTAATAGCTGCAGAACTACTCAAGCTTTTTATTTCTTCTCCAGTCACATCTCATAAGGCATATATATTTTTTCAAGAAACTTTTCCATGTTGTCTAAGTTTTCAAAATTGCTAGCATATATTTGTACAGCCAGCCCTCCATATCCGTGGGTTTCCACATCCACATATTAAACCAACCGTGGATAGAAAATACAGTATTTTGGGATATGGAATCTGTGGATTTGGAGGGCCAACTGTTATCTTACCATGTCTGTTATCCTTAGTTATATTTCCCTTTACATTCATAATATTATTTGTTTTTTCTCTTGATTTGTCTTGCCAGAAGTTTGGGGATTTTAATATACTTCTATTATTCATACAGATCAAGTAAAAAAAAAAATCAGCAAGGGTAGCGTACATGTGAAAAACATAATTAACGAGCTTGTCCAAATGGATGTGAGTTCTGGATTGAACAGTTAGAGAGGATATATTTTTCTTATTATATGTGAAACATTTATAAAAACCAATCATGCACTAGGGGTAAGGTTAAGAAAACTAATAAATTTCAAAAGTTGAGTATTACATAGAATTATGTATCTTAAACACAATGCAATTAAATTAGAACTTAACAAAAAGTTAAATAAACGCCTATGTATATCTGGAAATATAAAATGCATTTCTAAATAACTTATGGGTTAAAGAAGTCACAATGGAACTTTAAAAAATTCTTAGAACTGTGTGATAATGAAAACAATACATAGCAAAGCTCGTGGGATAGATATAGCTTAGTAAGTTAGAAAATGAACCAAAAAAGTAAAGAAGAAAGTGAGAGATAATAAAAATGAGAGGAAATTAATGAACTAAGAAACAATAATGCAGTAGAAAAAATGATCACACACACACACACACACACACACACAGCTGCACCTCAGATTTTAAGGGAGTTAATTGAAGTCTGCCTTGTACTACAGCTTGATCATATCTTTTGGATAACAACAAATGAGCAAACTGTTTTCTCCCAAGGAGTGCTTCTAGTCTTCATCCAAGCATGTATTTGTCAGTCTTCATAGTCTTTTAGGTTTCTTTTTATTTTATTTTTTATTTTTCAGAATTGGTAAAACATTGAACTGGGCAATAGGCAGTGTGCTCTGCAGTACTGGAACACTTTTATTTTTTTTTTTTAAGTGGTTTTGGGACCCTTCATTTGAGTAATTGTACAAGGGGAGTAAGTGGGTTTTGTTTTGAGAGCTCCCAGTTAAACTGGGGTTCCAGTACCAGAGCAGCTAGCAACCCTGCCCTAGGGAAATGAAGGGGTGGACGTGGTGTTTACAGTGCGCCTTCACGGGATACTTCTTTTACCTGGCAGATGGCCCAATGCCTAGTTGGGCTACCCGTGACCAGGGTGTCCCTCACACGGGAAGCCTGTTTATCCTGGCAGACGCCCTTGCGCCTCCTCTGACCCGTGTCCAGTTTATGCCCTGGGAGCCCAATCTTATGTTCTCCCAGGCTGTCCCGGGAAAACCTGGACTGGAGCAGCTGCTGTTCTTCAGATGGAAGACACAGACTCCAAACATCACCACAGTAGGATACAAGTGGAAAGATTTTTACTTACAGACCCTGGGCAGACAGGGCACAGTATGTCCCCGGGTCATATGAGGCAGGCATGAAGTCAGGCAGAGAGTACGTGTGCACCTGTGGCAACTAATAGTATATATAGGAACCGGGGTGTGGGTCACTCGAGGTTTGGGGCCAAATGACTGAATCGTTGTTTAAAGGAAACAGCGGGAAAGCAGGGAAGCAGGAAAGCGAGATGCATCTTAGTTCTTATCCCTGGCCACAGACGTGGGCCATTTGGGTGTGGTGTAGAACTGGAAACTGTGTCAACGGTGACTGAGCCTTGCTTCTGGTATGAGAAAGTTAAACCTGTACTCACAATGGTTGCTGAGGCAACATAAAATTATAAGAATTCACTACAGGGTTTACCATCAAGAAAAGTTGCAAATTTTTAATACATTTATGGGTATATTTCTACTAATTTTAATATCAAAGAATAGAAAACAAGTTGAAGCCATAACATAATGGGAAAATGAAGAAAAGTCTCTATACATACCAAATTTAGGAAAGCAGAGTGTTGCCATACTTCAAAATGTTTCCATATCTCCTGTTTTGGAATAATCTTTAAAGTTAGTTTGTAAGACAAAGAAAATTAAAAAAAAAAAAAAAACCCAGAAAATTTCAGTCACATTATTTGTTTTTTGAACCCAAAGAACTTTTCTTTAGAATGATAACTAACCATATACATTAGTGAATTGCTAATGATGTCTGGCTGTTCCCAAACAAGCAAATCTATCCTCGAGAGATAAAGGAATACAAGCGTATATTTTAAACCACTGAGGATATTCAAAAGTATCCTCAGGACTAAGGTGATTTTAAAAGAGGGGATTCAAAAATGTTTTAATCAGTGCCTGTATTAGTGAAATAAATTTCACATCTGAGATCTTACAATAATATATTTGAATAAATTTGCTTTTATTAAAGTCAGCATTATGGGTAGTTCTGTGTTCCAGTAGTAATTCTGACCAATAGAGTAAGTCTCCATATAAGCATATGGATCATTACTTGAAGAGATGTTTGAAGAAATTTATGTCTTCATAGATAATAGACTTATATATCATATATCTTTCATTTTAGTTATTGACAGCTGGTTACAGATTATATTATCAATCATCCTAAACTAAGGCTCAAATAAATAATTTTCTTATTTCATGGGTGACTACAGACTATTTTGGGGGCACTAACAGTATTATACTAATATATTGGTGGACAGACTAGCTACATGTTCAAATTCAGGCCACATCTTTACTACTTGCTGGAAGAATATCCAATAGAAAAGCAAGATAATGGGAGACTGGAATAGTGTTTATGAGAAAATGTTGGTTAGACAGTAGAAATTCCTCCATACAAATCAGCAAATTAGGAAAGTGGTGGAGAAAATCATTTGCATTGCGTTAGTCTGTTTCTGTTGCTTATAACAGAATACATGAAAGTGAGTAATTTATAAACAAAATTTATTTCTTACAGTTCTGGAGGCTAGGAAGTCCATGGTCCAGGGAACACATTGGTGAGGGCCATCTTCTTGGTGGGAGCTGTAGAGTCCCATGGTGACCAGGGGTATAACATGGCATGAATGGCAAGAACAAGAGAGAGCTAATCTTCTCACTTGCTCTCCTTATAAAGTCATCAGAACCAAGCCCATGACAATCTATTAAACCATCAACCCTTTACTCGATGAATGGATCAATCCATTCGTGAGGGCACAGTCTTCACAATCCAATCATCACTCAAAGGCCCCACCTTTCAAATATCATAATTAGCTTTCCCACTCTCTTAACACGATTAAAATGGAGGTTAAGTTTCCAATACATGAACTTTTGGGGTACACATTTAACTCATAGCATGCGTATTAAAAATATCAAAATTAAAGTTTTTTAATGTCATGTGTCACAAATCTATATAATTCTTAATCCAAGATTAATCCACAAATCATTAATCCAAGAGGGTGGCTGATTAATGAAGTTCATACTTAAATAGTTCAGAGATTGTTTCATTAATATCCAGAAGGACTAAAGTCCATTTTTTTTCTTTTGCCCTTGAAAATATCAGCCAATAAGCTTTCTCATTAGACCGTCTCTTCTGGTCCCTAATCCAAGTTTATGTGACTGTCATTTGTAGGATTCAGCCACACTGTGATGAAGCACGTCAGACGTGGAGAAAGCATACTATTTTATTGGATGCTTCTACTCTGATTTAGCACAGACTACTTTATATGTCACAAGGACAACCCAAACAAGAAAAAAGCTGAGATGCTCTTAAATTAATACTTGTTGAAAGATTGAGATTTGGACTAGTTAGTAATAAAAACTCATGGAAATACTGGTAATAGATTCCTGATAAAAGTGTAGGCACTCTTGACTACTTAGTGGGTGTGTAAGCAAATGCCTGGCACAGAGATTTGACTCTAATCTGGTGCTTTGTGGATGACAAGCAGCACATAAGGGAGCAGCTGCATAAGTGTGCGAGTGATTAGTCTGTGTTTCCAGATCACCTCTACTGTTCTCTTCATTTACTATTATTTCCCTTTGGCTGGAGGATATGCTGCCAAGCTGGAACTGCCTTCTCCCAAACGCCTTCTTTCTGCCAGTTTGCAGGGGAGTGTTTTGGAGAAAAACTGCCAAACCTTCCTTTTCCCTTCTCAGATTAAATACATTACATCTGCTAAACATATGCAGTCTCTGTTGGCCCAGGGAACCAGACAAAAGCTCTCTGGATGATAACCTCACTGGTATTTTGTCTTCTAAAAATGTACTCAGTTGGAGTACATCTAAATGGCAAGAAATCCTTGCTTTTTCTGGGTTTTATCCTTGAGCTCAAATACTGGCTCTACCATTTACTAGTCATGTGACTTTGAGCAAGTCACACAAATTTTCTCTGTATCTCGATTTTCTTCTCTGTAAATTGAAGACGATACTTAACATTATATAGCTGTGGTAGATATTAAATTTCAATGATCTCTATTTTTTATATTTAATGAAATAATCAAAATCCCATTGAGCCTTTCCTTTTTGTCATGGGGTAGAGGAGTGATACTTGTCAAATTGATTTTAAAATTTGTCTAGGAAAATAAATAAATGTATAAGAATAACCAAGAAATTTTTTTAAATGTACGAGACTTGCCTTACCCAGTCAAAACAACTGTAAGTGTGATACTGCAATAAGATACATAAATGAGCAAAAGAGAACTGAGGAAAGTTTGTATTTAGTTTATAAAAGATATTTTAAATTAGTAGTGGCAGGGTATATTGTTCAATAAATGGATTGGGGCAACTAAATGTCCATTTGGGAAAAAATAGCTTGAAGTATGACTTTCCTTTTATATTAGGACTTAGTGATTTCTTCCTTTATGAGCTTGGATCCCTTTCATCTAAAATAATGCATTATTGTCCTCAAAGGCTTAAGAGTTACCCACACAGGTGATAAAGGCATGAGAGTGGACAAGAGCATTAAAGAGTACCAAGAAGTCAGTGATTGGAATATTGGGGCACAACTATATTTAGGATGTAGTTGGAGGAAAAGGGACCAAAGGTGGACAGCAGTAGGACAATGTCATGACAAAGTTTTATTTATTTTTAAATCATGGACCCCAACGGAGGAAAAGTTTTAGGTGAGGCGGGAGGAAAGTCAAATGAAGAGAGATTGAGATGACTGAGGGCTGGAAAAAGCCTGATGGGTTTGATAAATAATATAGCAGCCTTCCTGAAGAATTTTCCTAGTAGCAAGATTCAGCTAGGTGACAGCAGGCACAGGCTAACAAAGAAGATGTGCCTTACAAATAAGAAGAGCTGGAACTCCAGTTTGACTAGGAAATACTGCGAAAAAATTTTTAGAATCAACTGAACTAATTTTGAACCTGTTACTAAGCTGTGCCATAATATTCTGTGTGCCAGATGTCACCAGTTTTTCACAACAAAGCGCAAGGTCTTGTTTTCTTCATTTTACAGATGAGGATTTGTTAGCCAACATTATGACACTAACTATTGTGGGCAAGTAATTTAACCAATCTAAGGCAATTTTGCTAAATGAGAATACTACCTACCTCATCACTGTTCTAAATAGTAAGTGATTATATATATATATGAGGGTACTTCAAAAAGTTTGTGGAAAAATAGAATGAAAGATATGAATCATTCCATGAACTTTTTGAAGTACCCTCCTATGTGTGTGTGTATACACACACACACACACAAAAAAAAAAAACAAACATACAGTCTAGCACTTAGTAGGAACTTAATATTTCTAGTGACATCCGAGCAAAAAAATAATACCTAAGGTATGGTGATGGTGGCATTACTGAATTTAAGGATTCCTTTTATGGGTACACAGCTTTATTTTGAGCAATTGTTACTGACAAACGAGCTTTTTCTCTTCCTCTTTTGTAGGTATTGGATGTAAGTAGAGAAGGCAAAGAAGAAGTATTCTATGGGCCTACACTCCCTTTTGCTTCCAATGGAATAGCAGCATGCTTCCTTCCAGCTCCATATTTCACATGCCCTAACCTTCAAACTCTTCAAGTGCCTCATCACAGAATTGGCACCGTCTGAAAAGCCAATGCTCTGTTAATAACCATCATGAACAGGAGGAAAACAAAGGCCCATCTTTCGGATACTGGGCATAAAAAGACTCAGTGCTCCATGCTTCCTTGTCTTGTTTTATAGGTCTTATATTCAGATAAATATTAGCAAAAAATGAACAATTTTCTAAAATACATTATTGAAAACTCTTGTCACCCTTCTCAGCGTATGTCAACATACAATACAATATGTATGACTTTTATTGTGGTGTAGCTTAGTGCCAACTTAATGGTACATTATTGTTCCATGGGTCTTTAGAGCATTCTTTGTATACTTTTTCTAATCAGCACTGTCTATGACAACACGAAACTGTTAGTAAGGCAGTTTATTTCACAGAATGATGAATGATCTTTAAAAATATCTTCCATACCTAATCCCTTTACTACCTAAACCTGGGCCTGTAATTTTTCTTTTTAAATTTTAACATTATGCAGCCCTGCTCAGTAAAGACTCAGTATTATGACATCATGAATTTTTAAATGCCATATTTTATTCAAAGTGATAGGAATAATAGAAGTACACTGGAATAGCAGTTGGAATACCCTGATTTTTCACCTTGGTTACTCTGGCCTTGGGTCAGAACCTTAATTTTGCAGTGCTTCAGTTTTACCACCTTTTAAGGAGGATGATTACTGATTTCCATATTAATTCAAAACAATGTTGTGAGTATTAGGCAAATGCTCTGAAGTATTTTGCCTAAGAAAAAAATGTTACTCAAATTACAAGGTACTTTACTGTCTTTAGAACCTTATAACTAAATAGACTATTTTTGAAGTTTAAACATTACTAGATAGAACTTGGAAAACATACTATGAGATAAATGATTCTGAAAAGCATCTGAAAGAGATACAATAATTAGGAAATAGGGAGTTTACCAAAACAGATGATATCTAAACTTGTACAAATCCTTACCTCAGATAACTCTCAAATGTCTCACTTAAAATCACTTAGTGAAAAATGACATTTTAAAGCTAAAAAAAAAATTAGTTGTTCTAATTATGATACCATAAAGTGCTCTGACATAAATTTGAACCTGGAATTGGCAATTCTAAGGAAAGTTATTCTACTTTGTTAAAGGTTATGTCAATCTTGAGTGCTTGTGGGATTCTTCTCCACCAATACATATTTTATTACTACCACTTTTAATAATGCATAAGAATTCTTTTTTAGGCTACGTTTTTGGATTTGCTTTGTCTGTAACAAAAAATAAATAAAACAACTTAATAATCATATCTGAACATAATTCAACAAGAATAATGTGAGGTTTTTTTTCCCCTACTCTTGTCAGGACCGAGGTCATCTTTATTAAAAGGAAGACTTTACTCTGATTTTTTTTCCCTCATCAGTTCAGCAATTCCTCTCATAAGAAATTGCCATTTTATTCATATAACCATTTTTCGTAGTCAAAAGTGAACGAGAAAAGAATCTTATTGGAAGTACAGAATTCACTAACTTTATACATTGTTATAAGATACCTAAAGCATTTAAAAAATATGTATGAATTCTGGTCATTCAGATTAAAGGGCAGGAGGGAAGACTAAGGGTAAGGAAAAAAGGTAAATTTTAAGAACAGGAATTTAGTTTAGACAAAAAAACTTAAGAATATTTGGCCAGTTCTGAACAGTGAAAACTGATATTGGTAATTGATATTTAGATTAACAACAGCTTCTATAAGCCACCTAAACTAAACTTTAAAAATGTCTTACCAAATCAGGAAAATGGACTCCAGCATTTTAGAAATTTTTTCAACAAGGACTTAAGCAAGAAGCATTTCAGGTTTACTAAACTTTCTATTTGGCACATGAATTTTCCCTCCAGCAGTTTTGCCTTAAAACTCATAAAACCATTAAAATCTATTTGTATTCACAGGCCCTACATCAATGAATGAAAAGGAAATGGTCTAAGTATAAGCTTGCCTAACTGATAATGGAAAGACAGTCTGAGATTATCCTTGATTATTCTAACTATTCATATAAAACAAATAGCATATATTATTAGACCCCTCCTTGGTGACCTTTATAATGTATTATTTACTACTATTACAGAATTGAACTCAGAATTTAAAAAAGTTTTGCATGGAGTTTGGGAACATCCTTTAAAGTTATAGCCAAAGAGTAGCATCAAGAGTAGCATCAAAATAACACATCCCTTCCCTAAAAAGAAAAAAATAGATCGCTTATAATTAGACCCTTTTCCTCCAAATCATCAATAATAAGAGAAATAAAAATTCTGAAAAACTATGTATGGTCATACAAGCCAAATCCCATTGAAATTACTCAAATTTATATTTTCTATTTTAGTGAACTATCCTACCGTAACTCATCTTCCATTTTTATTCTTCAAAATTAAAGGCCACACTGTATTTGTATGTAAATTATTATACTAATATGAATATTCTATAGGAAGACCATGAGATTTCCAACCATTTAAACATAACTTTAAGATTTTACTTTTAAAAAAGAAAACAAGCAGCAGTACCATACAGATCTTAGCAGAGTATTCTGTGGGAGGAAAAACTACCAAAGACATGAATCTCTAAAATAATGTGTATGCACAATGTAATAAATTTCCTTGGATCCTTAATAACAAAATGCCAATTAGGTTATGATTATAGGGTATCTTTCATACTTTTTCCTTCATATTTTTCTTATACTTTAGCCATATGTACACTATATCCCCCCCTTCAACCACTGCGATAGCTGAAAACCTAACTTTCTATTGTTTTATGACAAATATAAAAGCAAAAGGAATAAGACAGAAGATACTTCTCCAGGTATCATGGCTCATTCTTATTTTGTTTTGGTTTTGTTTTGGCGGCTGGCCAGGCTCATTCTGATTTTAGTTTTCAAATTGTGAATGTTATAAAAAGTTAAACAATCATGGGCACAATGTAAGTTAAATACATACTTTTTTATTATATATATATCTTTAATGTTTATTATATGTACAAATAACTTATAAACATGCATATAAAATAAGAATGTCTAGAATTTTTCTAAAAGCACAATTCACAAATGCAATACATTGGATAACCATCAGCACATCAAATATTTTAGTAAGTAGAAATTGGTCAATTCCAACCATTTGGTACTGATTTTAGTAAACTTACCATATAGGTTATCACAGAATCAAACTACAAATCTCATATCTTATTAAATCTGTGAAAGAATATGCTACTTTGCTAGCTTCCCAAACTGTTTTAACCAACAAAGCATGTTATTTATATTGGCATACTATTCTCTTGCCTGACAAGACAGTATTTTTAACTGTAAGAGGAGTAGGCAGGAGATCAGTTTTGGAAAATGTAAGGTTTATGTAAAAAGTCTATCAAAAAGAAGTGGTTTAGCACAGATAATACAACTTTTGGTGAGATTTCTGTATCTACTTTTTATCTTTCAAACATGAGTGCTATGATAACACATAAGATTTAGGGAAGGCTGATTTCCTAAAGGCTTTTCCCAACTGTAGAAGCTTGTCAAATTTTTACACGACATATAATCTTAACTGTGATCCTGTGAAAGTACATGGAATAAGGGTCCATGTAGTTCTTTAAGAAAAAAGTAGCTTTAAAAATTTGTGATAAAGCATGGAAGAAGATAATAATAATAATGGGTAATGAAAACCTACAAATAGCCTGACTCACAAATGATTATTTTTTAAATAGATGCCCAAGAAAAAGTCAAATATACTTAAGAAGAAAAGAAAATATATTAGGGATAGATAAAACTATAAAAGTTTTAAACTATGAAATTCTTCTCATGCAAATGAACTCAATACTGAATGCTTTTTTTTTTTTTTCCTTTTTGTCTTTTTTCGTGACCGGCAACGGATCGCAACCCTCGGTGTTGCTCCCGCACCTCGCTCAGCCAGTGAGCGGCCGGTCTGTATGTGGGATCCGAACCCTCGGTGGGAGCGCCACCGCGCTCCCAAGCGGCGCACTGTAGCAGTGCGCCACCGGGCCGGCCCAATACTGAATGCTTTTTTTTTTTTTTCCTTTTTGTCTTT